ATTGAGTTTGCCAGGGGCCCCAGTGGAAAGTCTATGGGAATGGAGCAATGACCATTCTCAGAGAACTGCAAGTGGATTTTGATTAGGACCCGATACGAGTTCGATATGGATAAACAGACCCCTTTTCAGAGGATTCCAGTTGGATTTGAAAAAAGGAATCCGGTTGGGACCCATCGAGAATCCTAGGAGGCCCCAGTCCGTTCTTAGAGTGTCAATGAGATTGGAGCCTGCCGCTGGATCTTTCGAAAAGGAACATGTTGGAGCGCAAGAAAACATTCTACATAAAAACATAGTCCCCTCTTCCCCCCGAGGTTTCCCTGAGGCCTCTGGAGGACACGATCGTGGAGGCCCCTGGAAGCCTCCGGAGGCATCCAGAGGCCCAAAAATTGCCGACACCGAAAATACGCTTGGTTTACTTCCCAGGTCTCCGATTCTTGATTCCCAACCATCCTGAGACTGTTGGCATCTCGTTTTAAAGAGACGGTCCCCGTGTTCACTCCTCATCCTCCCGCTGCCCCCTCCCTCCTCCTCTCATCATCACAAGCAGCATCATCGTCATCATCGCCATCACCATCATCATCATCATCATCATCATCATCATCATCATTATCATCATCATCCTCATCATCATCATCATCATCATCATCGTCGTCATCATCATCATCATCATCATCATCATCATCATCATCATCATCATCATCATCATCATCATCGCCATCATCATCGCCATCATCATCGCCGTTATCGCCACCATCATCGACACCCATTTCGGCACACCCCTCACACGTTTCGTGGCCCCATAGGGAGCTCCACCGAAGGTCCCAGCGGGGGTGCCCGCATGCGTCCGCCGCACCCAGTACAGCGCTTCGTGGCCCCATAGGGAGCTCCAGCGAAGGCCCCAATGGGGGTGCCCGCATGCGTCCGCCACACCCAGTACAGCGCTTCGTGGCCCCAAAGGGAACTCCACCGAAGGCCCCAGTGGGGGTACCCGCATGCGTCCGCCACACCTAGTACAGCGCTTCGTGGCCCATGGGGAGCTCCACCGAAAGCCCCAGGGGGGATGCCCGCATGCGCCCGCCACACCCATTCGTGGCCCCATAGGGAGCTCCACCGAAGGCCCTAGTGGGAGGTGCCCGCATGCGTCCGCCACACCCATTGCAGCGGGAGCCCCACCGAAGGCCCTAGTGGGGGGTGCCCGCATGCGTCCGCCACGCCCCAGTACAGCGTTTCGTGGCCCCATAGGGAGCTCTACCGAAGGCTCCAGTGGCGCAGTCCGCATGCGTCTCCCCCAACCAATACTGTGTTTCGTGGCCCCACAGGGAGCTCCACCGAAGGTCCCAGTGGCGCAGCCCTCATGCGTCTCCCCCACCCATTACAGCGTTTCGTGGCCCCTTAGGGAGCTCCACCGAAGGCTCCACTGGCGCAGTCCGCATGCGCCTCCCCCACCCAGTACAGCGTTTCGTGGCCCTACAACGGGGTCTCCACCGAAGACGATATTTACAACTGCGGTATTCACAACTGCATATGGTTGGGTCCTTCGCCAGACTAATTTTCGTTTCAATCCGAGCGTTGTTCCTTGTTTTCGGCTCTTGGGGGCCGTCTTCGGGCCCTCGGCCCATTAAACTTTGACCGTGGACGGAAAACGCCCTTTGCAGGGGAAGTTGTCGGGGCCTCCTCTTGGGGCCACGGGTTCAAACAACACACGCGTATTTAGATACAGATGTATACACACATAAATACATTATATATATATATATATATATATCCACATACATATTCATCCATGCGCATACACATACATACATACATACATACATACATATATATATATATATATACACAACAGATCGGCGAGTCTCAGGCTTTGTCCTGTGGAGGGGCCCTTGCCGGGCCCTGGGGCCGTCAAAATACAGCTTGGGGTGAAAAGCCGGTCCCGGGGAAAAAGGCCCAGATCTCTGGAGAGCCACGTCGTGCAAATGCTCGGCGGTTCGCGTAACCCCGCCAGCCCATCCACCAACGATGCCCAGACTATCTGCCCCGGCCAGGGACGTGGAGGATCACGCAGTGGAGCAAAGTGCTGAGTGAGACGTCGTGCTCCAAGTGGGGGAGGGTGGAGGAGGAATCGGAGGAGGAACCGAAGGAGGAGGAGGAGGAGGAGGAGGAGGAGGAGGAGGAGGAGGAGGAGGAGGAGGAGGAGCAACGACGGCAGAAGCCTGGGCCCTCCCTCTGGAGCGTGGTTCGGCGGAGCCGCGCTGGCACCGGCGGCGCTCTGGGCCGAGACCAGCGGCCTGCTGCCAGCCTGCGCAGGTCGCCCGTCGTTGGAGAGCCTCGCGCAGCCAAGACGGGGATCCCCCGCGGTGTCCCACGTCTGTCGGGTGTCGACCTCCAGACTTCTCGAGGCAGATCCAGCCGTGGCGACGAGGAGCCTCCCAGAGGCTTCCACGTCGTGAAGCACGACGGCCTCGATCGTCGAGAGGAATCCTCGATCTCTTGCCTCGGCACTCCGACCCCTCTCCTCCGCAGCCGTCGTGGCTCAGGGAGGGGCCCGAAGGTACGAGGCCCCAGAAGGAGGAGGCAGGAGAGAGAAGGAAAAGGAGGTCGAGGAGGATGAGAAGTGAGGAGGCGCAGGGGTCGAAGAGGGAGGAGGAGAAGGAGGAGGAGGAGGAGGAGGAGGGGATTCCCAAGAGAACGCGTGCGCGCGTGCGAACCCCACCCCCGTCATCAGGCCTGCGAGGGCCTCCCGAGGGGTGGGATGCTCAGTTGCGCGCTCGCGCCGCCCTGGTTGCTCGCCCCCACCGGCACCTGCCTCGTCTTGGCGGCGCGCAGCGGGGGGTATGGGGGGAGGGGGGAAGGCGTCTTAGAAGCACCCCTGCTTCTTAGAAGGTGCGGGCCGTCTCTGTAGATGTAAGGCCGGCGCCTTCTAAGAAGCAGCCTCCTTCTAAGAAGCCTTCCCCCTTCCCCCTACCCCCTTCTTCTCGCCGCCAATCGTCTGCGCCCGCCACGAGAGGTCCTTCTCCGCATCCATTCCCCCACGCGGCCCTCCTCTGGAGGGGGGGACGGCCCAGACCCCCCATTGCTCGGGGGTGGACAGTACCCCCAACAGTGACACGTCGATTAGTGAATTGTCCGTTTTCGGTTCTCGAGGTGGCGCCGCGGCCGTTATTTTGAAGGTCTGCGCCCGCCAGGTTTGGGCCTCAGGTCGTTGTCATTATACCACGTTTCACTAAAGGGAGGTCTGTCCATCCCCGACTTGCGCTCTGGCAGAAATCATCACGGGAGGTTTTCCATTATCCAGGAGGTGAAATAACACGCAGACGCAAGTGATCGTCGCTTCCCAGGAAAAGAGGGGAAACCATGGGAAGTGGGGGGGAGACAAAAACCCGTAAAATATCGGAAAATATTGGGAAATTTGTCGTCTATTTATTTGTGTGTGTCCCAGTGCCCCTTCAATTATCTTCGGCCCCCTGGGGGGCCCTTACCGGGCCGCGGGGCCGTCAACAAGAGACGACCCAGGATGAAAAACCGGCCCTGGGGAAGGGGTCCAGACCCCTGGGGGTCGACAGCGTGTACAATATCGGCTGCACGCAGGAGTGACCTTTCGCCAGAGTGACCTTCAGCGCGGGCCCAACGGGGTCCCACGGTCGCTGAGCGCGAAGCGGTAGCGGCTGCGTGCGCGCATGGTTTTGGTTCCTTTTGCGCTCTGGCCGACTCTGGGGGTCGACCTTGTGAAACAAACACGCGTCGGGGGTCTGGGTACGTCATGCGTTGCACCTGCGGGTTCTCGCTCCGCGACTGCCTGCCAGACTCTGGGCACTGCGCGTTTGCGGGCCTCTTGCGGGGGCGGCGCGGCTGCGTCACATCGACGGGGGTCTCGCTCCCCGACTGCTGGGAACTCTCGCTGCGCGACGGGGGTCGTCGCCACTTGCCGCGGTTCAGGATTCCTTGCGAAGGCTGTCGGGCCTCCGAGCAGAACGGCAGGATTCCGGCGGACATCTCCAGGAGCCCTCCGGGAACGCAGGCGATTCCCGGGGAATTCCGCGGGGCCCCCTCGGAGATCCACGGGGCTCTGCGGGAGTTACCCGGGGCTCAGCCGCGGCAGGGACACCACAGAGGGAGCTCTCCAACCACCTGGCGGCGGGGGGGCGCTGGGCCATTGAGGGGGGTGCTGGACCCCTCGGTCTCGCTTCTACTTGTGGAGACCCACTCACATCGCAGGCAGTTGTTCTTCCCCAGTCCCCGAGTTCCGCCCGAAAAGCCCTGGCCGTCCGGAAGGAGGGGGAAGACCGTGGGATCCACCCCAAGGGGGGGCTATTCGGACGCACCCCTATCGAGGATGGACGCCACTTCCATGGTATATCCCAGGGTTGGGCCCCGGATTTCTGGTCCATCCCCAACCCCCACGAAGCCTGGGATGGAGGTCGACAGGTCCCTTGTCATGTTCCGATTCTGAGTGTGGAGCCCCTCTTGCAGCCTCGCCATGGGCGCCCGCGCTCTGAGTTGGAGATCGTCTAAGCCGTGCCGCGCGCAAGGCGGGGGAGGCCTGGCCCGGCTGCTGGCGTCGCTCAGAGGCGGGCGAGCTTCCCGGCCGCCATCCCACGGCGCTCCGCCGAGCGCTCCCACCAGCGGTCGCTCTCGCCTGGCCTGGCTCCGGCGCGGCGCTCGCTCCGGCGAGGAGGCGGGAGGGGCGGAGGGGCCGCAGCGGGAGGAGCGGCAGCAGGAGGAGCAGCAGCAGGAGCAGAGGGAGAAGGAGAGGAGGAGTGGCTGGAGGGCTCAACACGCTAGAAATCGCCTGCCGAGCCGCTACTGCGGCGATCGACCTCGGGTCATCTGATCCATACAACTACCGCCTCGAGGCCATGCGGCTGCTCGAGAAGTCTCGAGATCGAGGGGGCGAGTGCGAGGAGACGCGTGCGCCCACTCGTGGGGCGCGGGCGGCCTCCGCGCGCGATCGAGCCTTGCCTTGCCCTGTCGGGGAGACGCCCCCGCTCCGCAGCCGTTTTGGCTCAGGGGCGGGGCCGGGCCATGCGGGGCGCTGGCGCGCCCGGCCGCCCGCTGGCAGCGCGGGCCGGCCATGGCGCCGGCGCCCACCGTCGCGCCCTGGCCCAAGGGCGCCGCGGGGGCCAGGCCACCGCTGCCCTGGCGCCCCAGCGAAGAGGGCGGCGACGGCAACGGTGGGGGGCCCACAGGGCCGGAGGTTTTCCATCGTCTTCGCTCCCTCGGGGCCCTCACCGGGCCCCGGGGCCATGAAAAACCAATCCAGGATGGGCAGCCATTCACGGGGAAGGGGTCAGGACTTCAGGGCGCCCCGTGTCGAAAACATTGGGACGTCGCATGTCTGCGCCCCCAGGCGGTGCGGTGACGACACCACATTCCTTGAGATCTAGGCGTTTTTGTCGCGCTGGGCGTTTTTTCGCTCGGTGTTGGGCCCCGGGGCCCGCACAGATCGACCCGGCCCGGAAAGCGCCACAGAAAGACAGGGTCTAGGGCTCCAGTGGTGCTTGTTCGCGATGCTGCACTTGTTGGCAACGTCGGATCTCAGTGTGGTGAGTCAGTGGGGATGCGGTGTAAACGCACGGTTTTGGGACTCGGGTCGCTCTCCGAGGATGTCTCGTGCAACTGGGGCCTCCGGGGTCCCAAAACCATTGCGGTGACGGACCGTGTAGTGAGGCCTTTCGGGGTTTCGATGTCACCGCACGGTCTGCAACCGCACCGTGTTGGGCGCCCCAAGACGGTCCCCACGACGGCGACGGTGACCCCGACCGACGGCGACGGCGACGAGGGCCGTTCCCCCGGAGGAGGTGGAGGACGAGACGGAGGATTCAGGATCGGGGACTGCGGTGTTTGGTTATGTGTGATGTTATTTTTGGACCTCTGGAGGCCTCGGGGGGCCTTCCTCCAGGAGAGAGAGGTGTTCGTCTGTGTTGACGCTGTCGTGCTGTTCTTGCCCCTGGGGGGACCTCCAGGGACTTTGCCTGTAGGCACATCCGGAGAGCAATCGGCCTGCCAGCAGGTGCCCCGCGAAAGTTCCTCATCCCCCGACGGCCCGCGGGGCCCACGGAGTCCCTGGGGCACCCAAGGGCCTTCAGAGCGTGGCCCAACGTCTCGTCTAGCAGGATGTCTTACCGTGTTGCGGATGCCTTACGGCCGGTGCCGCCGACGACGCAGGCGACGACGACGACGCAGGCGACGACGACGACGAAGCAGGCGACGACGACGACGACGCTGACGTGTGCCAGAGTCCTCAGGGATGCTTCTTGGGGTCTCTTCGGAATGCTCTCTCGGGGGCCCCTGGGGAGAAGTGGTGCGGCCTCTTGGGAGCCTCTTGGTGCCCCCCCTGGCAGATGTTCTGGTAACAAGATGTCATGCGGTATTTGTCTCCTGTAATCTTTCAGGGGGGCGCCCTCTTCCTAGGCTGATCAGAGTCCGCGAGGGCCTGGCCGAGGAGATGCAAGTTTGATGAGGATGAGCCCTGTCGTCGGCACAGAAGGGCTCCTCATCCCCCAGCGAGCTCCTGGTGCCAAGAAGGTTCTTTCTAGTGGTTTCCCCCCAAACCCCAATTGCGTGTGCGCGTGCGTGTGCGTGTGCGTATGTGTTTGCGCGTGTGTCCTTCTGTCTGTGTGTCTGTGTGTGTGTTTGTCTTTGTGCGCGTGCGTGTGCCTGTGTATAAGTGTGTGTGAGAGAGGGTGTTTGTGTGCATGTTTTTGCGCATGTGCCTGTCTGTGTGTGTGCATGTGTTTGTGCGTGTGTCTGTCTGTGTGTATCAGACTGTCCAGCCTCGGGCGTCTTTCGTCCCTCGCTCTCCGTTTTTTTCGCCTCGACGCTGAGCTCGAGGCCGCGACGCCAAAAAGTGGTGTGTGTGTGTGTGTGTGTGGGCCCGTGTGTGTGTCCATGTGTGTGTGTGTGTTTGTCCGCCAGGCCGGCCCGCCGGGCGGGGCGCGGGCCGGCGCGCCGCCCTTCCCCCCCTTCCCTTCTCCCGCCCTCGCCCCCTGTGCCTCCACCGTCGTCCTCGTCTGTCGTCCGTCGTTCGTCTGTCGTGTCGTGCCACTGGGCTCCGTCATCGCTGGTAAAAAAAAGTGTGTGTGTGTGTGTGTTTGCTCCTTGCTGCCAGACAGTTCGAGATGCCGTCACCCGGTTTGCCCGAGCGCGCGCGTGGTGCGGATTGCCTTTGGCGCGTTGCGACGTAAAGAGTGCGTGTGTGTGTAAGTGTGTGTAAGTGTGTGTAAGTGTAAATGTAAATGTAAGTGTGTAAGTGTGTAAGTGTGGAAGTGTGTAAGTGTGTAAGTGTGTGTGCGTGTAAGTGTAAGTGTGTGTGTGTGTTTGTGTGTTTGGGTGTGTCTTTGTCCGCCGTGGCTACGTTTTCATGTGCTGCCCGCCGTGTGGTCAGATATTGGCGAGGTTGTTTCTGCCCGGCGCCTCGGGATCTCGTGCAAGACGTTCGACAAGACCTGGACGTCAGCGCAAGCTCTTCGGCAGGGCCTGGTACCTGGTACTGTGCCGTTCGCACGGCTGCGGTGCCGCACGGAGACGACTTCTCGGCCTGGAGGCACTTTTTGCAGCCCTTGTGTTTGGAGCTGATCTAGCTTGGCAGCCCCTCTGTGACGAAGGCTCCAGGACAGCTAGCCGGCTTCGGTCTATGACGGCGCTCCTGGAGTGGACCTGGTTGTTGGACACGCCCGGCTGCGGGGTGCTCAGTTCCAGGCTCAGGTCTCGTCTCAAGGTCTCGTCTCAGGGCCTCGTCAGTCAGCAGTTTGCCACCGGCGACCTGGTGCCGGCTGTGGCCACCCGCCGACCTTTCCTCCGTCGGCGTGCTCTGTTCATCCTGCCGTTGTGCTTCACAGCGGGCCCCTCGCGCATGGGGCCGCACGCGCGCCCCTCCCCCGCCGATTCTCGGTGGGCGGACCTCCTTCCTTCTTCCTCCTCCGCGGACGCCCTCTTCTTCTCCATTCGTCTTCGCGCCCCTCGCCCTGCGCGCCACGCCTGTACCGACCACCGCCTGCGATCGCCAGCGCTGCCGATGAAGAGAGTGTGCTTGCGTGTGTGTTCCCAGTTTCGGCGCTCGCTGCCTGCTTTTGGTCCTTCTCCGCCCTGTCGCTGCGCGCAGGGCCGCGACGCCAAAAAGTGTGTGTGTGTGTGTGAATGCGTGTGTGTGTGTGTGTTCGTGTGTTTGTGTGTTTGTGTGGCTGTGCGCTTGTGTGTGCTTGTGTGCTTGTGTGTTTGTGCTTGCTTGTGTGTGTGCCCGCCCGCGCCCTGTCTCCCCAATTAGGGCTACCCGCGGCCCGTTTAGCCCTTGACCGGAAGGGGCCCGCTCCCGACCCGCAGACCAAAAAAGTGTTTGTGTGTGTGTGTGTTTGTGTGTTTGTCTGACCTGCGAGTCTTTCCCCTCGGGGCTGTCCGGCCCCTTCTGGCGACCCGGGACGCCTCCAGCAAACGGCCACTAGAGGAGGATCGGGAGGAGGAGGAAGAGGAGGAGGAGGAGAAGGAGGAGGAGGAGCAGGATGGCCGCGTTCGGAGAATCCTGAGGCAGAGAGAAAGAAGGAGGAGAAGGAGCAGAAGGCAGACCTCCACCCAAGAGCGGCTTGCCGTCCGCCCTTGCCCCATCCCCCCCCCCGCAGGTGGCGCGTTGGCCCACTGGTGGGGGTCTGAAGGAGGGCAAGGAGGAGGAGGAGGAGGAGGAGGAGGCAGAGCACCCCAGGTGGCGTGGGCCCCGTGGTGGGTGTAGGCGGGAGCACGACGCGTGGGAGGAGAAGGGGCAGGGGAGAGGAGGAGGAGGAGGAGGAGGAGGAGGAGGAGGAGGAGGAGGAGGAGGAGGAGGAGGAGGAGGAGGCAGAGCTTGGCTTGTTCGCCCCCCAACCCCCCAAGTGGCATTGGCGCCCTGGCGGGGGGTTGGGACTGAGGTTCGATCTGAGACTGCCCTTACCTGCGCGGCTGCGAGTAGACAGGGAGGGCGGAGGAGGATGAGAAGGAGAGGGGACGAGGAGCGGGACAAGGAGGACGCAGCTGTCTTCGGCGAGGGGTCGTGCTCTTCCTCCGTTGCCAACTCCTCATTCGCCACCGCCTTGTTAACCTCCCCCTCCCCTTCCCCTGGTGCTGTTTCTCCTCCTCCCCTTTGCCCCCTTCTCCACCCAGCTCTGCCGCCTTCCACGGCTGAGTCGTTTCGTTTGAGGAGGGCGACAGTGAGGAGGGCGACAGCTTCGTCAGGCGTGTGGTTCGGCTCTCGTTCCGAGGTGGCTTGGCGGTGCCTGGCGCCCAGGGGGAGCCGACGGTCGGGACCTGTGGCTTAGCGTGTCGCTCCGTTGGTTCTGGCCCACAGCGATCTGGCGCGACACGCTGACTACTTCCCCATTTCCACCCGCCAATGCTCCGAGCTTTTCTCGGCCTCGCGCTCTGCGGGGCACAGCGACGCGCTGTGCGCTTCGAAGGCATAGCGTGTCGTTGGGCCGCCGCCGCGGCGCTCTAAGCAAAAGCTCCTGACCGCATTTACAACCCGTCGCTAGAATCCTCTTCTTCCCTACCATCACCATCCTCCATGTTTCTCATCACCGCCTTCTTCCTCCTCCTCCTCCTACACATTGTTGTCCTCCTCCTCCTCTGGCCTATTCCTGCTCCTCCTCCTCCTCCTTCTCCTCTGGCCCCCTCCCCCGTCTCCTTATCAGCATTACCATCATCCTCCTCCTCCGCATCGCCATCATCAGCGCCATCATCATCATCATCATCATCATCATCAGCAGTATCCTCCCCCTCCTCCTCACCATCATCATCATCCTCAACAACGCGCCACCGTAAGAGGAAGATCACCAGCTTCACCGAGGGCCGTCATCCCGCTGGTGAAGCTCGCGTTGAGGTGCCTAGGCCTTTGCGCGTGGGAGCTCCTCAGATTTCGTCGCTGCAGCTTGCGTAGTGCCGCAGTGCTCTGACCCCTTGGGTAGTGCCCGGTTGTCCTCGCATGCTCGATTGGACTGTTCAGGCATGCCTTGTCGGGCGCCCTCCGGCGCCGCCTCGGTCCTCGGCATCTCGCCGCGCCATCGTTCAATGGCCAGCATTCGCAGGATGTGCTGCGTTGGCTTCATCCGGGGGGAGCGTGCTGCTGTGCCCCTGCCCTGGACAGCTCAGAGGTCGACGCGCTCGCTGCAGGCCTATGTTGCTCCTGTGGCACAGCTGCTCGCCGTCGGGTAGCAGGCGGTGCCCTGCCCGCCGTGTCCGCGCCGCCGTTTGTCCAGCACATCCGCTGGTATGCCGCCGTCCCTCAGACCTCACTGCGGCGACCTTTTCTGCGGCATGTGTGGTCAGCGTGCGTGCGGCGACGTGTAATTCGGGGGCGGTTGCTTGACCGTTGGACCTTCCACGCGCGCGCGGTGATGTGCCATGTGGTCGGGCCGCCGTGTCGGTGAGGACGAGTCGTAAGGTTTTTTCGAGGGCACTGTTTTGCTAGCTCGCACATGTTAGAGCCCAACCGCGTTTGCATGGTCGCTGATCGTGCTGGGCGGGAGGGTGATGTCCAAGGGGGTGGGGTGTCTCGCTCTTCCTCGCCTCGTCCCAACACCTCGTCTGACGTTGTGTGTAGCACGAGCCCAATTACCATAATCATCATCAGCAGCATCATCATCATCATCATCACCACCATCACCATCATCGCCATCATCATCACCAACATCAGCATCATCATTAGCAGCAGCTCCATCGTCATCATCATCAGTATTATCATCCTCAGCATCAGTAGCATCATCATCAGCATCAGCATTATCAGCATCAGCATCAGCATCAGCATCATCACCATCGCCATCGCCACCACCAACAGCATCATCATCAGCATCATCAACATCGTCGCCATCGTCAACTTCACCATTAGCAGCATCATGAGCACCATCAACATCATCACCATCATCATCACCATCTTCATCATCAGCAGCCTCATCATCAGCAACATCAGCATCATCACCATCACCACCATCATCATCATCATCATCATCATCATCGTCAAACACACCATCATCATCGTCGTCGTCACCAGCAGCGTCATCATCATCGCCAGCTTAGACACCATCGTCATCATCATCACCACCATCATCATGCTTACCACCATCATCATCCTCATCATCAGAATCCTCAACATCATCGTCAGCATCGTCATCATCCTCATCACCATCAGCAGCATGATCATCAGCACCAGCGTCGGCATAGCCACCATCATCATCATCATCATCATCATCATCATCACCATCATCATCATCATCATCATCATCATCATCATCATCATCAGCATCAGCACCAGCATCAGCATCAGCATCATCATCAGCATCAGCTGCAGCAGCATCAGCATCCTCGCCATCAGCATCAGCATCCTCATCCTCGACCCCCTCATCGTCATCCTCATCCTCTCGTGCCCGCCAGGGCCCCCGCGAAGGCGCAGCCCGAGGCCCTGGCCGCCTTGCCGGGCCAGGAGGAGGAGGAGGAGCCCTCCTTCGCCAACCCCTTCTTTGCGCGTGACGGCGAGGGGCCCGACGGTCGGCGGCAAGCCAAAGTCGGGAACGCCTCCTCCTCCTCCTCCTCCTCCTTCTCCTTCTCCTCCTCCTCCTCCCTCCTCCTCCTCCTCCTCCTCCTCCTCCTCCTCCTCCTCCTCCTCCTCCTTCTCCCTGGGGGAGGTGGATCGACCCCGCGACTCCAGGGTCACCGCGCAGTGTTGGGACTCGGGCCGCTCTCCGGGGACGTCTCGGGCGAAGGGGGCCTCCGAGGTCCCGAGACCGTGCCGTGACGCACCGCGTGGTGAGGTCGTCGCGTATTCCGAGGTCACCACGCAGTCCGTCACCGCACGGTGTCGGGGCCCCGAAAATACCCAAAGGGGGAGGGATCATGTTGTTTGTGGCCATCCGTACTCCCAGATTTCGTGGCTCCACATCATTCTTTCGATGCGTTCCCTGTCCATCCCCCCGCGTCCTTCGCCGACCGTTTCTTTGCGGATGACGGCGAGCGGCCCGATGTTTGGCGGCAAGTCGAAATCGGGAACGCCCCAGGGAGGGGACAGGACTGTGGGTGTGCGTGGGCCTCCTTGCCGTTGCCATCAGATCGCCCAGATTGTGGGGCGTTGCGTAATGGGGGGCGGTAAAGACGGCGGTGGAGACAGGTGCACCTCTTGAGCACCTTCGGGATCCCAAATTTTGGGCCCGAGGGGGCCGCACTTGTGCACCTGCGTTGCACCTTTCTCCGCTCGCCCGATTACCGCCCCCCCCCCCCAACCGCGGAGCAGCGCCCACCGATTTCAATGCCCCTTGCTCGTCTTTCAATGCGTTCCCTGTCCCCCCCCCCCCCACCCCGCCCCAACACCCACCCACCCCTCGTCCCTCGTCCGCGGACACGCCTCGGTGGCGCCCCCCTCCTCGGCGGCCCGAGATGCAACAGCGAACAAGGCCCTGGCCTGCGGGGGTATGGTGGGCCGCCCCCCCCCCCCCCCGACAGGATAGAGGATTCCTCCATCTGCCTCCTGCCCCCCGTCCCTCGGCGGCCCGAACAGAGAACGAGGAAGAGTCAGTGGCTTGCGGGGTGGGGAGGCAGCCCCCCGGAGAGGAGGAGGAGGAGGAGGAGGAGGAGGAGGAGGAGGAGGAGGAGCGAGATGAGGAGGATTAGGAGGAGGACAAGGAGGATGACAAGGAGGAGGAGGAGGAGGAGGAGGAGGAGGAGGAGGAGGAGGAGGGAGGAGGGAGGAGTAGCGAAGAGGAGCAGGGAGGAGCGAGGAGGAGCAGGCAGGAGCGAGGAGGAGCGAGGAGGAGGGCGGGTTCCTCCGTCTTCCCCTCCCTTTCTCTGAGCCCTCGGGTGGGGAGGTGGGGCTCCCGCCGCCACGGCCGGGCACCTGCTCGGAACGAGACATGGATTGGGGGCGCTGCCGGGGAGGGGTCCGGGGCACAGCTCTCGGCGAGCGGATCTGCCTGAGCGGGGGGGGGGGACGGTGCGCGTGGGCAGGGCCCTTCCACGAAGACGGCCGGAGATGGCGCGACGAAGAGAAGTGTTCGGGGAGGCGGGAAGTCCCGACACGTATTGTGAAATCGGGTATGTCCCTCTACAGGGGGAAACTTCAAACATGGTAAAGCAACATAGTGTTGGGACGATTGTTCGACTGTAGTTGACTAGTGTTGCGTATGTTCTGACTATTGTTTACATTCCTCCCAGAATCCGCCTGTAGGAGGACATGCCCGACTTAAACGTATTGATTCGGTCCACTCTGTTCAGGCTCCCTGTTTTTCGTCCTGCGCGGACCTCAGAGACGAGGGCCGCTAGATACCCAGGAATTCCTGAAGCGCATCCTGAAACCATCGCATCACGGCATCCTTCTTGCCACAAGAGAAAAAGCACAGGCGTTGAAACTACCAAGGACCGCTTGGAGCTCAGGAGGGCCTCTTGCGTTCGGGCCGTTTCCTGCGTCCAGCTCGGTGAACCCTATCCGTAGGCTCGCCGTACCCAGAACAGCCCTTCCGGTCCTCGGCTTGCTGCATCTCAACGGCTTTGCCATCTGCCGCATTCCCCCCCTCAACTGATTCCTTGCGCGGCTGCGCTTGCTCGGTTGGTTCGTTGGCTGGCTGGTTGGCAACTTGGCCGGTTGGCCTGCTGTCTGAAAGCAGTTGGCAGCTGGTTCTGGCTAGCGGGATGCTCGCATCCATCCACATTGCTGAGGTATGGTGTCTCGGGCGCGCGCTTCTGTTGTAATTCCATCCGTTCCGTGGCCTCGTGAGCCTGGACACGTGGCTATTTCCAAGGGTTCGTAGATTCGGGTCCAGTGCCAGATTTTCAGGACGTGGCAAGCGAGCCGACAAGCGCCGACATAGATCCAAATACAGATTTCTGGTCTTGAAAAGAGGCGGCTTGCTTGGGCAACCTTCGTTGGGGGGGGTCGTGGCCTCGGGATTCGGGAGCGGTTTGGGTGGTTTGTATGGATTCGGGAGCGCTGGCGCGCCGGAAATTACAAAAGGATTGGCCTCGGGATCGCGACAGCGTTGTACTCTAGTATGGTCATGTGCTTCAGAAAGGCTAGAGCGATCTAATCAGAAGGGGACTGTTGCTTCGGAATCACGAACCTCTTGTACTTTGGAATGGAATGTGGCCTTCCTAACGCGAGCGCGTCGTAAGTTACGAGGGGTAGTTGCCTCGGGGGCGCAAGCGCATGATCAATTACGAAGGGGGGCCTCGTAAGAGCGACGATGTTGCAATGTACCAGGGATTGTGGCTTCGGCATCGCGAGCGCGTCGTAATTTACAGCGGGCTCTGGCCTCGGGAGAACAATACGCATAATGTTCTTCGGACTGTGTCTTTGGAAGGGCGGGTGTTTCTTTGTAATATGCGAAGGGTGTGCGGCTTCGGGGACGCAGGTTCGTTCGCAAGTTCGTTCTAATTTACAAGGGGGGCGCCTCCTGAGCGCGAGCGCGTCGTAGCTTACGAAGGTTTGTTGCCTCGGGAGCGCGAGAGAGCGATATAGTTTGCAAGGGACGCCACGCGCATATCCAATGTTTGTATGGTCAGTTTGTTTCGAGGTGTTCGTAAGCTTTGGATATTGTTTGGATGTGTGGAAGATTTTGTGTGTACGAACAACAGCCCAATCATAGCTCAACTATACACAACACATATACCAAACATAGAACCACAATCCAACAGGCATGCCGTACAATATGGCACCATCTTGCGTTGATCAAGACGATCCGCACAGTCATTGTAAACGCTCATGACCGAATCCGATTTGCTGGCACATTCATCGACATTCCCCCATCGACAAATCGCGAAATAGCGGGTGTATGAGAAGGCGGAGGCCGAGAAGGGAGGAGGTAGACAAGGGGTACGGGATAAGAAACAGAAGGCCCCCCTCGCAAAGGCTCAAGTGGCAAGTGGCAAGTGGGCCCGCCAGCCAAGGCGCCCCAATGGCCTATAGGCCCGCAACCTCCACATCGGCATCGCAAGTGCCAATTTGTGTCCTCCCGCGGGCACGCCCGCGGTCGTAGGTACCAAAAAGCATGGCCCCCTCCCGGGCGCGCCCGCGATCGCAAGTTCCGAAGGATGCGAATCCCCGGTGAATTGTATCGGAGTTCCCCTGGACCTCAGGGTCCCTCAGGACGTATTCCCCGAGTCCACGAGAGTTTTTCAGGAATTGCACGGTTCTTTTAGATTCCGGGTGTCCAGGAACCCGAAGTGCCCCAGACCCAGGAAACCTAAGTTCCAGCACGCGATCGGGGCAAGACAGAGTTACGCTTGTCATGTTGTGGGGGCTGTAAAGTAGCACCCGAGGTAGGCAGATTCTGGTGCTTGTGGTATGGGCGAAGCAAATTTAGCGTAGAATGTGTAATTGGGCATACCGGCCGGCACAGACAGGCTCCAACTCGCAATTGTAGTTTGTGGAACGCGACATCCTCGTAGTATGCGAGGGGTCACGGCTTCGGGGACGCAACCTTGCCGTAATGTACAATGGAGTGCGGCATCGGGAGGGCGAACTTTTCAAACGTTGTAAGGACGGGCTCGTGAGGACTGGCTCGTTGTAAGTGATTAGTGAGGACGGGCTCGTTGTAAGTGATTAGTGAGGACAAAGGTATTATGGATTAGTGAGGACGGGCTCGTTGTAAGTTGCCAGAGATTGTTGCCTCGGGAGCGCGACTGCGTAGTAACTTACGAAGGATTTGTGGCCTCGGCAGCGCGAGTCTGTTATCTTACTATCCTGACAACCTCCAGCGGGCGTGATAATTTGATGATTTGTGGGTTGTCGTCATCGCTCGTTCTTGATTGCGTGTTTACACTGTTCGTTCGACACTGGGGCCCCAATATCTACAGCTACAGCATTGGAAGCCTTCGTGCCGAAGTTTTGCAGGGAACAGGGCACCTGGGCCTCCGCGCCTGTTGGTCCCCACGGGGCCGGCGGGTGAGGCGTTCTTTACTTACGGTAGCACGACGGCCATCACATTTGGCACATTGAGAAGCCGCACCCTCTTTGCTCGCCACCCAAGGCGGGTGGCCTGGAGCGGACGAGGGCGAGGCCGCGGAGCCCGACGAGGAGGCGTTTTTTCTCCTTCTCCTCCTCCTCCTCCTCCTCCTCATCGTGCTCCTCCTGCTGGTCGTCCTCCTCCTCGTGCTCGTGCTATTGCTGCTACTGCTGCTGCAGCTCATTCTCACAGATCTGTGTTGCGAGTCGGCAGGCTTGACCCCTTCAGTTTTTGTCTTGGTGGCCTAGCGATATGCACGGATCTTTTGATCATCTGGCGGGGCAGTGCCACCCATCTTCTTCATCATGTTCCTGCTCT